CACATCTAATAGAATATATATAAAAATTAAAATATTTTTTTATTTGTAATTTTTGATAAATAATTTTATTTGATAAAAAAATTTATTTATTATTTATTTACTACAATATATAAAAAATTAATAGCTACTAATAATTCAAGTAGCTCATTAATAATCTCTTGTAAAAAAAGAGAGTTTAGAATCGAATTATATGACACGGCGTACGTGTCATGACTTAAATTTTACCAAGCAAATGAATAAAATTTAGCTTTAAATGACATTATTCTAATTTTATCTAAATATTGTGTTGTAGGAGCCTATATGCTTGAGATGTACAAATATTAGGCCTGGTCCTAATCCCAAAGGAAGTAAAAAGCCTGCAAGCCCACCAAATTGAGGAACCCGGCCCAAGTCCCCAGTCAAAAGCCCAGAACGCCCGATATTTTAAAAGATTTGTTTAACTAGGCCTTAAAACTTATTAATTAATGTATTTTTAATTAATTTTATATAAATTTTTATATTAAATTTATAATTTTTATATATTTTAAAAATAAATATTTTATTTTATTGTATTTAAATTTTATATAAAATTAATTACAAATATAATAAATGATATTTAAGCTACCATCTTTGCTGACCATCATCAGCGTCACCATCACCCATCATTACCAAAAAGGCCATTGAAGAGGGAAGGGGTTCCGTTCTTTCTGATTTTAAGAGGAACAGCAGCACACACAAAAACAAAGAAAAACAAAGAACAGCCACACAGAAAAAAAAGGGGATTTGAGATTGTCAGCCGATCTCCTCTCCTCTATTTCCTCAACTTTTTTTTATTTTCTTCATTTTCCCTCCGGGTTTCCTTTTTTGGTTCCCGATTCTCTTTCAATTTTGAGATCAATTTCGACCCCACCGTTCATCAGCATCATCACCGAACAGCCACAGAAGCCTTGCTGGGAGGGAAGAACCGAAAAAACCAGGGGAAGAAAACAAATCTAGATTCTGGCGGGTGGCGCTTCTTCTTTTGGGAGAGTACCGGTGCTGGTTTGGGGTGTAAGGTGGGAGTAACACTGAGGGATCGAAAGGTCGGGGACGAAGGGATTCTTCTCTGGAGGCGAATTTGTTGGCCGGTCAACGGGGAGAGGAACAGTGGCTTCAGGTTCGGAAATTGGTCCTTTAGTTAACTCTCTAGAAAGATGGGTTATGGGACCAACGTGGGCTTATTGGTACGAGGGAAAAGAATTCGATTCTATTTAATCAATGTCTTGAGATTAAATCTTGTGCATGAAAAAACAGTCGCTGGAAGAGTTTTCTCCCATCAAAAGTCTGATTACTCGATTTTAGATTAGTGCAGGCGTAATATGATTTTTGGATATCGAAAAGGATTAATACCAAAAAAGAAAAAAAAAAAAGATGGGTATTCGAAGGGGATGGTGAAGGAGATGGACGGAGCAGGTCCCGTGGGAAGGATCCCTCCCTTCTGATCCCAGTCTCCTTTTCTTCAGAAAATTCTGCCTTGGGTGTTTTTCGACTTTGAAGTTTTTGTAATGTTCTGATGGCTGCCATTTAAATTTGTATGTAGTTGTTAAAAGAGGATTGATATTCAATGATTAATTATCTTCTCACCTGCATTTAGTGGTTGGATACTGGAATCTTGAGTTTGAACTGTGTTGTTTTGTTGAATTTTAGCTTGAAATTCATTTTTGCCAGAATAAAACGCTAATTTTCCTATTCATTTTTTGTTTGGATTTGATCAGTTTTTACCCATTTCTACCATCTAGTTATGTTTTTACAGTCTGGTTAACATTCTTGGTCGGATCGATCCGACCCGCTCAAATGGATTAATCATTAAAAAATATTTAAAAATACAAATAATAATAATAATAAATTAATTATGATAATTAATTTAGTGTATGATTAAGGAAATTAATTAATTTTAATTAAGGTAAATTAATTTTATTTATTTGTTTTAATTGAGATAATTAAATTTATTTAATTAATTTTATTAAATGATAATAAATAT